CCTTTCTCCCCTCCCCGCCCCACCTCTTCCCTTCCCTTTCTCCCCTCCCCTCCGCTCCTTGTGGTTTCCAGCTGGGCAGGGGCCTCAGACCACAGCTCCCCACCCAGGAGATAGGCGGCATCCGCCCCTCTGTCTGTTAACGTGGCCCTAGTACCCAGCTGCTGGGTGCCCTGGAAGCCAGTTAGATTTCAGACCCAGGCTGTGTGCACTCAGGGCCTGTCCTGGCGCCCCTAACCCTCCTTCTCTCGCCTCCCAACCAGTCTTGTCTGTGGGGTCGAGCCTGGTGGGCCTTCTGACTCTGGGAGCCGTGCTGAGCGCTGCAGCTACCGTGAGGGAGGCCCAGGGTCTCATGGCCGGGGTGAGTTCACTGTGTTCCCAGATGCCCCAGGACCCCTTCAAGGGCTGTCAGGGCTATGCCTCACCCCCTCACCTGAGTGTCCAGGCAGAAGCAGAGGCCCCAGGGATGCTGGCCAGCAAAGACCCCCAACCTGGATCGCCAAGGCCCCTCCCCCAGGCCCCACCTCACCCTGTCATCCACATGCCCAACAAGGGTTCCCACAGGAGCCCTGAAAGAGAGAGATGGCCTGGCCGGGTGGGGTGGCTCATGCCTGTAATCCCAGCACTTTGGGAGGCCAAGGCGGGTGGGATCCCATGAGGTCAGGAGTTTGAGACCAGCCTGGCCAATATGGTGAAACCCTGTCTCTACTAAAAATACAAAATTTAGCTGGGTGTGGTGGCAGATGCCTGTAATCCCAGCTACTCAGGAGGCTGAGGCAGGAGAATCGCTTGAACCCAGGAAATGGAGGTTGCAGTGAGTTGAGATCATGCCACTGCACTCTAGTCTGGGCAACAAGAATGAAACTCCATCTGAAAAATAGAGAGAGAGAAAAAAAGAGAGAGAGAGAGAGAGGGCCCTCCTCTCACTCTGGGAGCTGTCTCCAAAGTCCCCGGGAGGGTCTGGTTCTGTTGCCCAGCAAGCTCTGGGAGGTGCCGGGTGCAATCCATTTCCCGTTTGGAGGAGGCCAGACAAGGCAGGAGCAATGCCCCTCGCTACACTTTCCAGCTGGGTTCTCCTGAGCTGCACGCCCTCCTTTCCAGCTGCCGGAGGGGTCTCCACAGCCCTGAGGCCCCATAGACTCCTCTACCTCACCCCCACAGCCGTGGCCCCTGTCACCCCATTCCTACTCCTCCCCATAGGCTCTGTCCTGGTCCCTGCCAGCCCTCGATGGTCAGCCCAGACCCCACCTGGCAGCAGCCTCCCCACACCCATCCCGCCCCTGCTAGGCCCACTGCCCTCCCCTCACCCCATCTGGGGCAGCTCCTCCCTGGCACCCTGAGCTCCCCCGTCTCCCTCTAGCCTCCCATCTCCCCATCCCAGCCATGAAGAGTATGCGCTGGGGCTTTGCTTCCCTGTGTAGCCTGTGAAGCTGGACCACTCTGGGGGTCTCTGAGGGCAGAGCCCCCTGGGTCCCAGGGCTGGCAGGGTTTTCAGCTCAGCCGCCAAGTTCAGCAATGCTTGTTGAATGACCCCTGGTTCATAAACGCCTCCAAGGATAGGAATCGAGTCACCTCCTGGAGCTGCTGCCTGGGCCAGCCAGCCCTGGGCAGGCCCATGGGGAGCAGAGGAGGAGCCAGCAGCTCCAGCACTAGCCAGGATTCCTGCTCCCGGGCACAGGAGCGTGGGCAGGGACAGCACCAGCCCTGGGCGGGCACCAAAACCCCAGCCTGTGCTATCTGACTCCAGGGCCACATGGGATACCCCAGTGGGGAGATGACAGGGCAGGTAGACTGTCCCCCAGAGGGTGTGTGGCCTGCAAAGGGACAGCTGGATGGAAGACAAGGCTGGCAACAGGGCCAGACCAAGAGATCCAGGTCAGAGCTGGAGGCTCAGAAAGAACCGGTGCTGGGGCCGCAGCACCGTCCACCAGGGGGCACCATGGTGCTGGGCTTGAGGCCATACCTGCAGAAGCCAGCACTGGGCTGCGGGGCTCGTCTCTGTCACCACCTTTCCGACCCCACCTTGTCCCCCGTGCACAAACCAGCCTATCACCCTGATCTGTAACCAAGACGGTCAGGGAGCACCTGGCTTGAGTTCTGTGTCCCCAGCCAGCTTCAAGGCAGGGTGACTTGATATGTGGGTCAGGCTTGTAGAGCAGCCTGGGATGCCCCAGCTGGACGTTTGCACTGGGCCGGGGTCCTGAGGACACTCCAGTACAAGCTGGGTGGGCTCCAGCTCACCCCAAACCCCAGTGCACTCAGCCCTGGCCTGAATGGTGAGCTCAGCATGGCCACAGCAGGGCACTGGGAGACCCCAGCCAAGAGACTTGCCCCGTTGAGCTGCATGCATGTGTGTGCATGAACGTGAGCCCATGTGTATGCGTGTGCATATATATGTGTGCGCAGGTGCCTGTGTGTGCATGTGTGTCTGTGCATGAGTGGGTGCATGAGTGTGAGTGTGCATGAGTGGGTGCATGAGTGGGTGTGCGTGTGTGATGAGTGTGTGCACATGAGTGTGTGCATGAGTATGTGAGCAGGTGCAGGTGCCTGTGTGTGTGTGTGTGTGTGTGTGTATGTACATGAGTCTGTGCATGTGCAGGTGCCTGTGTGTGCATGAGTGTGTGTGCCTGTGCCTGTGTGTGTGCTTGTGCAGGTGCCTGTATGTGTATGTATCTGTGTGTATGAGTGTGCACGAGTGTGTACATGAGTGTGTGCATGGTGTGTGCACGTTTGTGCCTGTGCAGGTGATTGTGCATGTGTACATGAGTGTGTGGATGAGTGTGTGCATGTGCAGGTGCCTTGTACATGTATGCGTGCGTGAGTGTGCATGAGTGTGTGGGTGCAGGTGCCTGTGTGTGTGCGCATGTGCATGAGTGTGTGTGTATGTGCAGGTGCATCTCTGTGTGCGTGTGTGCATGAGTGTGCGTGTGTGCATGTGTGTGCATGTGCAGGTGTGTCTGTGTGCACGTGTGTGCATGAGTGTGTGCATGAGTGTGTGTGCATGTGTGTATGTGCATGGTGTGTGTGTGCTTGCCTGTGCAGGTGACTGTGCATCTGTGCATGTGTGTGCATGAGTTTGTGTGCGTGTGCAGGTGTGTCTCTGTGTGTGTGTGTGTGTGCGCATGAGTGTGTGTGCGCAGGTGTGTCTGTGTGTGTGTGCATGAGTGTGTGCAGATGCATGTGCCTGTGTGCGCACGTGTGTGCACGAGTGTGTGCATGCACAGGTGTGTGTGTGCGCGTGCATGTGTGTGTGCATGTGTGTGCATTAGTGTGTGTATGCGTGTGCGCATGAGTGTGTGTGCAGGTGCCTCTGTGTGTCTGTCATGTGCATGAGTGTGTGTGTGTGCATGTGTGTGCAGGTGCAGGTGCCTCTGTGGGTGTGTGCATATGTGTGTGTGCATGTGCAGGTGCGTCTGTGTGCATGTGTGTGCATGAGTGTGTGCATGATTGTGTGAGCATGTGTGTATGTGCATGGTGTGTGTGTGCTTGCCTGTGCAGGTGACTGTGCATGTATGTGCGTGAGTTTGTGTGCGTGTGCAGGTGCATCTGTGTGTGTGTGCATGAGTGTGTGTGCGTGTGTGTGCATGTACAGGTGTGTGTGCACGCATGTGTGTGTGCATGTGTGTGCATTAGTGTGTGCATGCGTGTGTGCATGAGTGTGTGTGTGCATGAGTATGTGTGCAGGTGCCTCTGCGTGTGTGTCGTGTGCATGTGTGTGTGTGCATGTGTGTGCAGGTGCAGGTGCCTCTGTGTGTGTGTGCATGAGTGTGTGTGCAGGTGCAGGTGCCTCTGTGTGTGTGTACATGTGTGCATGAGTGTGTGCATGTGCAGGTGTTTGTGTGTGTGCGCTTGTGTGCAAGTATCTGTTGCCGGTCTTCGCCTGCCCCTGTTGCCGTATGGGTGTGGTGGCTGCGAGTTGCATCTGGCACATCTGTATGTGTGTCTGCATGCATGAGCACAGGTGAAGGGGCTAGGCATGGGGAGCAGGGAGCGTAAAGATTTTTTTCCAACGTTCTGGGCACCTGGCTTCTCCCCCAAAGCTCCTTCCTGCTGGCCCCCACCCCTACAGCCTCTCCTCTAGCTGGCCTCTTGCACAGGAAATGAAAGAGCTTGCTGGGCTGAGAGAGCAGAGCTGGCAGCACGGCCCAAGGAAGCACGTTCAATTCGCTTGTGTGTCTATTTCCATTTAGAATGAGGGGAAAGAAAACGGCCAGGGCAGGCCTGACCACGCAGCAGCCTCTGACGGCGAAGGCCTCGGGGAGGTCTGGGTGGGCCCATCCACTGCCCAAGATCCTCTCTGTAGGGGTTGGCGGGGCGGGGGGAGGAGAAAGGCCATGGATGCTCTTTCTCCTGAGGAATGAAATGGTTTCTGGAAAATGCTGGTCTCCTGGGCTGGCTCAGGGCCTCAAGCCTGGGAGGCAGCATTGAGTGATAGCTTCCAGATGGGAATGGTGGCCCTCAGCCAGCAAGGAGGAGGATGATGACGATGAGGAAGGAGGAGGGAACAGAAGAAGGAGGGAAGAGAAGAAGGAGGGAGAAAGAGGGAGAAGAAAGAGGAGGAAAAGGAGGGAGAAGGGAGAGGAGGCGGAGGGAGGGGGACAAGGGAGAGGGAGGGGGAGGAGGGAAGAGGAGGGAGGAGAAGGAGGGGGAAGGAGGAGAAAAGAGAAAGGAGGGAAAAGGTGAGAAGGAGGGTGGAGGGAGGAGGAGGAGGAGGAAGGAGGAGAGGAGCAGAGAGGAGGAGGAGGCAGCTCCCAGGCTGTCCCCCATCAGGTCTTGCAGCCTCCAGGGCAGGCGGGAGGGCCGTGGGGAGCTGCCAGCGCCAGCTGGTGTTTGGGGCCAGCAGGACACCCCAGCTCTTCGCACACCCCTCTTGCCCAGCTTCCCCTGGCATGCCCCTCATCACTGCCTGCCTGCCAGCATGTGTGGGTCTCTCTCTACTCCAAGGGTGCCCGTGCTCCTGCCATCACCCTGAATGGAGCTCCCGGGTTGAAAGGGCCCAGCCCCAACCTGCCCTAGCCCGTGGACCACCCGGGCGGGCACAGTGCTGCCTGCGGGACATGCTTGCTGGGGTGGAGGGGCTGGTGTGTCACCAGAGCCTCAGGATTCCTGCGGAAGCTGCCTAAACAGCAGCTAGACTCACCACCGGGTCCTCCAGGTCCTCAGGGCACCAGCACGAAGGTGAAGGCGGCCGAGCAGGCCCTGAGTGAGAGGACATCCCCAGGGTTCTTACCCTGTGGTGACCTCTGCGGCTGTCCACAAAACTGTATGGGGGCATGTGGATGCTGTCGGGGGAGGGGTCTCTCATGTTCCTCCGCTGCTGCAAGGGGGCTCTCAACAGCCTGGAAGCCCTGACCGAGAGAATAACTGGGGGAGTGCCGGGGGCTGCGGAGCAGGTGTTTCCCCCAGAGATCGCCCGACTCCACGACTGGGGGCAGGGGCGTCAGTGAGAGCGAGGGGACAGTGGTTGGCCGGACCATGGGGACCCAGGCAGAGTATGGAGAGAAAGGGAGGTGAGGAAGGCGGGCTCGCCTGCCAGCACGGAGGCCACAGCATCCTGGACAGCCTCCGCCTCTGTCCCAAGCCTGGCCGGTGCTGGGCTTTAGGGGGAGGCTTGCTTCAGAACAGAAGGCAAGACCGAGGAGCCTCAGGCCCAGGGGAGGCTCAGCCTGGCCCTGCCCAGATCCACAGCCCCAGGAAGCAGCCCTGGTGGGCAGGGGTCTCCATCTTCCCAGGGGCGCCCTGCTCCTCCTGGCCAGGGGTGCAGTGCTGCCATCAACAGGCCTTTGGGGGCCAAAATGGTAGAACAAGGAATGAATTTTCCCAAAAAGCGCCTGGAAGAGGGATGGAAAGGTGCTGGGGAACCCACGCGCCCAGCGCCCACGCCCTCGCCAGGCCAGGTCTCCCTTTCAGGCAGTGGGGAGCAGGGCTCAGACCCACACCTCAGCCAAGCACCCCATGCTCTGCCCAGGCCTGCCAGGCCCCACCAGGCCCAACAGTGAATGGCCAAACGCCCACAGTGACCAGCCCCCACAGTGACCAGCCCCCACACAGTGACCAGCCCCCACAGTGACCAGCCCCCCACAGTGACCAGCCCTGTTCTGCCCCCAGGGTTTCCTGTGCTTCGCCCTGGCATTCTGCGCACAGGTGCAGGTGGCCTTCTGGAGACTCCACAGCCCCACCCAGGTAAGCGACAGCTGCCCTCACCCTGCAGCAGAGGGCTCCCCAGCAAGCCAGTGGGCCCCTGGGGACTGGGGAGCAATTGTGGGGGGGCCGCCCCAGCTTCCATTCTTGTGCTGATGGGTGGGGTGGGGGGACCACAGCCTGGGTTCTCTCTGCCTGAGGCTGCAGGGAGGCCACGGGCTGGAGGTGGGCGAGGCTCAGGACTCCCTGGTGGGAAGAGGCCTATGCTGTGCCCAAGCCTTGCCCCAGTCTCATTTCCTTGAAGCCCCCCAGCCCACCCCCTCCTGGGCTGATGCCCCTGGGGTTTGGGGGAGGGAATGAGGAGGAGGAAGAAGGAAGGGCCCTGGCTTGGCCTTAGGAGCTGACCAGAAGGAGCAGAGTGATCCAGGGCCCAAGGTCCTGATGGAGACCTGGTGGGGCAGACATGCCGTGGTGAAGGGGCCTGGAGACCCACAGGCTGGGGTGTCGCAGCCTCCACCCCCTCACCACCCTTCCGTCCTGGATGCTGACCTGCCTGGAGGAGGAGCTGACCTAGCCGACCCTGGGCAGGGGCCAAGGGCATCCCTGTGGAAAAGTCAGCAGCTTGGAGAGGAAGGAGGCATCCCTGGCCTAGCAGAGAAAGAGCTCGGTCGCAGAGCCAGCCCTACCTTCCCCTTGAGAGCCCAGACCCGGTGAGAGCTCCTAGGGCAGCCCGGGTATCGCCAGGACAGCCAGCCACAGGCAGGGTCATCGACAGGGGAAGGAGAGCCTGGCAGGTCACAAGAGGTGATGTCTTGGAGCCCCTGTTGGAGTCCCAGTAGCCTTGTGTATTCAAGTGCCAGGTTGCCCAGGGCCCCCAAACATGGGCTTGGCCATGGGAGCTGCAAGGCTGGTGGCAGGGAGGTCCTCTGGGCGAGCTCTGCAAGTGTCTGTTGTGCAGGTGCCGGGCTCTGTGGGGCGTCTGTTGTGCAGGTGCCGGCCTCTGCAGGCATCTGTTGTGCAGGTGGGTTCTGCAGGGCCTCTGCTATGGAGGTGCTGGGCTCTGTGGGGCGTCTGTTGTGCAGGTGACGGGTTCTGCGGGGCGTCTGTTGTGCAGGTGCCGGGCTCTGCGGGGCGTCTGTTGTGCAGGTGTCGGGCTCTGCGGGGTGTCTGTTGTGCAGGTGGGTTCTGCAGGGTGTCTGCTGTGGAGGTGCCAGGCTCTGCGGGGCGTCTGTTGTGCAGGTGCCAGGCTCTGTGGGCGTCTGTTGTGCAGGTGCGGGGCTCTGCAGGGCATCTGTTGTGCAGGTGGGCTCCGGGGGGCATCTGTTGTGCAGGTGGGCTCCGGGGGGCGTCTGTTGTGCAGGTGGGCTC